TTAGGTATTTGGTTATGAAGAAACTGTTCGATAAAACTTGCGGGAAAGAAAAGAGATGAGGGGAGGAAGGGTTTCCGGAGAGTGAGTGTCAATAAAATCGAGAAACGAAGGGACAAGACTGGAGAAGAAGGGTTTGGGGAGAGATGACGTTTTGATAACTTCAAGAGAGAGAAGTAGAGAACCGGATGGGAAAGACCGAAAGAGGATGGTTTGACCAAGAGAAAGGTAATTTAGGTAATATAAAAATAATTTGCTCAGGCAGCTAATATTTGATTTAGCAATATCTGTGGCCTAAAAAATATGGATAACTCTATGTTTAAACTGAATATTTGAAATTCAAATGTACGTTTATATATGGTAAACATATAGTACATAATTGGTGTAATCAAACTTTCTGATGAAGTCTTTTTAAACTATAAAATAGGGTGTTAAATGCTAAATTTATTTTGTTTCATTTCATACAATGAGTTGCGTGTATTTTTTCTTAAACAATAATTTACTATAACCCTTTTGCATCCATCTCCTTGAATCTACTTGAACTTTGTCATAGAAAATTACAATATATCTTTAATACTACCTCCGTCCCAAAAAAATAGTTCACATTGAGTTTTTATTTTTATACTATTTTTATTACAAATTCCAAAACTTAAAGTCAACTATTTTTTTGAGATGGAGGGAGTAATGCTTTAAAAATTCTATAAATTAGTACTCTATATATTAATGAATGCGATTAAGTAATAAATTTTTACGATCCCAAATTAAGACTAATACAAAAATCAAACAAAATCAATAGATTAGTACAACAACAACACACATATCTAGTAAATTTCAAACTCGGTTGGGGTCTGAAGGGTCAAGATGTACGCAGCCTTTGGTATTTCAATACAGAGATGCTGTTTAAGAACTTATATATAAATATAGGTTTACACAAAATCATAAATTAATAATGATCTAAAATATTAAAAAATATCCAAAAAAGATTTCGAAAAGTGGGATACTGTTGAGTTTTGTTTTTTCTTGAAATTTACATGTGAGAAAATTTTCATCTTTGAATTTCCTTATTGCATTTAAAATTATAATCGTACAAAATCTGAATGGAATAATAACTAATTAATTTATCAGTAAAATGATAATCTTATAATTTTTTTTGGACCCAACCACATTAATTTAGAATGTTTTTATTGTATATATGTTTGGATTAGCCTGAAATCTTTTGTAAATTCTTAATATCATTCAAATTTAACAAAATAATATCTAAAATCTACCATACAGTGCACTGGATACATACTAATTTTAAGGGAATAAGAAAAAAAGAGTGTTCATAAATTTTTTTAAAGATTAATCAACACTAAAATTTTATTTATATCTAAAAAATTTTAGGTAATTTAGTATTATACGGGTTAAATGGGTAACTCGCATAATCCGTCAGGTCAACCCGAACCCGACCTATTTAATAAACAGGTCAACCTAAACCAACGTATTTATTAAATGGGTTCAAAGTTTCAATCCAAACCAGTTTATTTCGTGTTGGGTTCGTGTCGGGTTTACAGGTCCTAACCCAAATTCACACCCTTATTCAAAACTAACACATCCCATGCAACATGTAGGATAAGAACTAGATTCATTAATAATAGAAAAAAAAAAAAAAGTAATTACAGTCCAAAACTGAACAAGTACAAAGATCACTAGCACCTTTTTTATTTTCTTTATTTATTTATTTACTTCACTAGCACCTGTCTCCCATATCAATACAACATATTAATCCATTTAAGTTATTCTCAAGGTTTAATTAAACGTCCGTATTTTCTGTAAGGTTCCTTAATTTTTGGCTGCTGCTTGGAGTACCAAATTTGGAAAGAACTACACATTGTTCACAATTGCCGAAGATGATAAAAGGCAAATGAATATGGTACTACTAATTAATTTATTTTGGAAAAATTGGTCGATCTACCCAAAGCTTTACATGTGTTATCAATTCCACCCTATTTTTTCGGTTAGCCAATATTACCCTAAACTATCCAATCGTTAGCCGATTTTTCCAATTTACCAATTTCCGTTTAAATTAACAGAATTTTGTTAGTTTTAATTACAAAATACCCTAATAGTTTTAAAAATTATAAAAATAACCCTAAAAATTTATAAAAATAACAAAAAAGTCTCTTTTCAATTTTTATTTATTTTTTTCTGTTTTTTATTTCTTTTTACTATTTTTCATAACTATAAAAATATACTATATGATCTTTTAAAAAAAAAACTATTTATTTTTAAACCCTAATTTACAAATTTATAATTACATATTTGTAAGTCATTTTGATTCACATAAACATAGTGATTTTTAATAATATGGTTTAACAGTAAAGATACTATTTTTTTAATCTATTTTTGTCAATCTACTGAATAAAATTATTTAACTAAAACTAATTTTGCACAAAAAAAAATTAAACAATTAGCATAGATTAAAAAAATATATTGGTATACTTTAATTTATTACAATTTAATTCAACATAATTTAGATTTTACTATAAAATTAATAAAAAATAATTAAAACTAAAATATAAATTTTCTTTAAAGGGCTAAGTACGAACAGAAAGTAAAAAAAAAAAAAACACATACTTCGTTTCTACATTGGCCAATATAAGAATATAGTGTCATGGCATTTACAAAAATGGTACAAAATATTTTATAAAAAAAAATATGTATATTTATCATTGCGGGGGTTTAACATTTTGTGATAATTTTTTGAAATATTAATATATCTAACTTTAGCAGGATTTATTTTTAAAAAAATAAAAAAAATTTACTCTAGTACTGGACTTCACCTTTTTTTAAAAAAAAAAATAGATTGCCCCAGTGAGAATCGAGACCTCGAAACATAGTACAATCATCTCATATTTTAAATTACCTGACCATCCAACTCAACCCTCCCACCTTTAGTGGACCCCGCTTAAATGTAGATAAAATCACTCTCCCGGTTAGAAATCCTTTGGTAAGAATTAATCACATATCCACTCTCATGAAACTCAATACCCTAAACGCTAGACTATACCTTATATTTTAGTTTAATTATTTTTAATTGGATAATACAATCTATAGTCTGTTTAGTTAATTTGTAAATAAATTAAAATAGACTAACATATTATTTTTTAATTTATTCTAAATGTTTTAAATTTTTTTTGTAAAAAATTAGTTTTAGTCAAAAAAAAAATTATTCTTTAAATTGAAAAAAATGGATTAAAAAAATAATATCATTATTTTCTAGCCATATTATTCAAAAAATTAATATGTTTACGTAAATCAACCATGAGTTATAAATATGTATATCTATAAATTTGCACAGTAGTGTTTAAAAATAAATTATTTTTTCAAAAGATCATATAGTATTTTTAATAGTTATGAAAAATAGTAAAAAGAAATAGAAAACAGAAAAAATTAAATAAAAAGTGATAAGAGGCTGTTTTGTTATTTTTACAAATTTTTGGAGTTATTTTTATAATTTTTAAAACTATTAGGATATTTTTATAATTAAAACCAACAGAAATCCGTTAATTTAAACGGAAATTGACAAATTGGACAAAATTGGCTAACGGTTGAATAACTTAGGATAATATTGGCTAACAGAAAAAAAAAATAAGGTAAAATTGACAACACATGTAAAATTTTAGGTAGATCGGCCAATTTTTCTAATATATTTTCTTTATCTCAACATAAAATAATTACTTATTAATATATTGTCTTTATCTCAACATAAAATATTATTACTATATTGTTTGTATTTCGAGACGTATAAATTAGGGAAACAATTACTTTGCGGTGGTGGATTGATAAAGTAATAGTTGTATAGTCTTCACAAGAAATTTATCAAATCAAGACTACACAGCAAACATCAAAATAAGATGACAGTAATTCATAAGCAATGGACCTTTGAATCAAAAAGTAGTCCAGAAAAACTACTTACCAATCATCATCAAAACTCATCGAGAAATACCACGAAAGATTTCTGAAATTTCAAATGAAAACTTTCTCCAAAGACCCTTTTCAATGTTTCATTGAATTCAAGACCGTCTTGATCGACTCCATCTTGAAGTTCTTCTTGGACCAAATTTCACACTCCTTGGACTTCAACTCCATCCATTCCATCTCCAACTCAATCGCCTTTGCCCTTCCCATCATCAGGTGCAAGTTTTTCTTCACACTATCAAGTTTCGAAAAACTGGACGAATTAGAAACACTTTCCCATTCCAAAGATTCCATTAACAGGGGGATACTTTGCAGAGAAACTCTGTCCACCCACCATCACTTTCATCAACACCATTAATTACTACTGTTATTTTTTGGAATCCAGAACGGTCCAAATGTTCTTGGATAGTTTGAAAACCCGATAATCGTGATCGTCGGCCGAACGTCGAAACAGGGGAGGGGACCCATCGCGCTCTTTCTCCAATCTCTTGTGATATTTCTCCTTGAGCCCACGAATCTTAGTGTAGATCTGAGTTTACCTCTCAGAAATCCCGGCGGGTTTGGAAGATCTCTGGATTTGGTGTAATCCAACCCTTCTCAGTCAAACAATTGCGAGTGATTGTGAATTCTTCGTCGTCTTGATTGGTTCTGGGACGTTTTGCTGAGGGAATGTTTTTGGTTTTATTCTTCTCTTCCATCACCTCCTTGGTCTTCTTCTTTTTCTTTGATTATTAGGATGATTTTTTTTTTTTTTTCAAAAGAATATATGGGAGGGAAAAGTGACAAACTAACTTCAATTTAATCTCATCTTTGCTTAATTTTAATACTCCCTCCGTCGCATAATTATTGTCCAGTTTAGATTTTCATTTCTAGTTCAAATTATACCAAAAATGAAATCTCAAACTAGACAATAATTTTGGGACAGTACCTTTTAGGAGATGTGCAACCTTAAAAATAGTTGCCCGGAATTAAGTTTTTATGATACGGGTTTGAGTTAATTGCGTTTATACGGGATTGACATATCTTTCAACTCTTTTTGAAAAAAGATTTCTAGCGGTGTTTTAGCTCGCAATCTTGGGGGATAAATAAATGTGACAATTTTTTATCCATTAATTTTACCTTAGAGGCCGGTTTTATTTTGATTTTCGAAAAACTAAACCTTTAAAATTGTTGTTACTATGAATACGATGACTACAGATATGATTCGTGATGCCTACTCGTCTGGCAAATCTGATAATTAGACAGCCAATTTAGTACTGCACGTACCCTTCACGAATCACGATCTCTCTTATCACCCAAATTATAAAAAAACTGATAAAAATGCAGAACGAAGATTCCAAGACATGTACTTATAATTTTCAATTATACTAAATAAACAGTCATTACATGTGATAACTGATAAGTGATAATCAGTCATCAATATTGAACATTCGCTTAAAAGTAACAACAAATGCAACTTTCCAATTGAAATAATCAAATTAGGAAGTTGGTCAGAACTCAGAAGCATTTTTATGCCGTGAAATCCTCCAAAGATATCATACAAACCGATAAGAGTATTCTAAATTACTTCCCAAAAAAAAAAAAAAATGCTCAATTTGGCACCCCAAATTGGCTCCCAAAGAATTTAACCACAGATCCTTGGAGTATTCAGTATTAACATTGTCAAATAATCTTTGAACTAAAAAAAAAGTAAAAATTATATATTCTAAGAATCATTAATAAACTAGACTGTCAATCATAAAAGCTCAAAAAAAGCTATATTTACACTTTTTGAAGTGACCCCATTTGAATCATAGAACATTTTACCTCGTGGCTGAATCTGCATATTCCTGGTTCCTCAATGCAACTTTGGAGACTCTCCAATGATACCCAAAAAACCAATCATTTTCCATTTTCCTATGTTGTTGGGATTCCATCCAATTCTTGAACAACTTCCTCCATGGATGGCCTAATTTTACCATTCTCAGTAGCACACATTGTAGCAATGGTGACAACTTCCATTACTTCATTCTGCTTCAGTTCACTCTTCAATATGTTAGCATCAACCATTTCCACATATTGTTCTTTAACCACCATGGAATGAACCCACTGAACTAACCTGATTTCCTTCCCATCCTCTCCCTTGAATGGGAAATTCGGCCGTTTTCCGGTGATGATCTCCAGCATTAGTACTCCGAAGCTATAAACATCGCCCATCATGGTGGCCATTGTGGCCCCACTCAAGTACTCCGGCGGGATGTATCCCATCGTTCCGGCCACCTGAGTCGATACGTGTGAATGTGAACCTTCCATTCTCCGAGCTAATCCGAAATCAGCAATGTGTGCCACAAAATTCTCATCTAACAAAACATTACTAGCTTTGATGTCCCTATGAATAATTGGAGTCTCTAAACTATGCATAAAAGCTAATCCCCTGGCAATTCCTTGAATAATCTTAATCCGGGTTGACCAGGGCAACGGGAACCTTACGCCGGAAAGACCCACGTCGTCCTCCGACGAGCTTGACGTGTCGTGCAGCCATTGGTCCAGGCTCCCCTGCGCCACATACTCGTAGACCAGAATCCGCTCCGAACCCGTTGCGCAGTACCCGAGAATCTTGACGATATTCGGGTGGACGATCTTCCCCAGAGTTTCCATCTCAGCCCGGAACTCCCGGAACCCTTGAAATGCATCGGCTGAGAGTTTCTTAACAGCCACCATAACTCCGCTGGACAGCTTGGCTTTATAGACATACCCGAAGCTGCCGTCCCCGACAATCAATTCCGGCGAGAAATTGGCGGTGGCCCGAACGAGTTCCTCTATAGAGACCTTACTCAAAGCCGGGTCAAAAGTGGCGCTTTCTCCGATTGTGATCGAATTAAGATCCGGATCCTTCTTGGGATGATTGTTATCGGGCACCGTCCTGGACCGGATTGCCCGGGTGGTTCTCACCGGAAGACGCTGCTGATTCAGAACACGCTGCCGTTTTGAAGCCGCTTTGCATATCATGAATGTTACGGCAAACAAACAAGTCACCACAATAAAACTGGCTATGGCTGCTATGATTGATTGGAGAGAAGAATCCATCACTGAAAAAACCCGAAAAAAAACAGGGGAAGAAGAAGAAAAAGGACGTGGAAACCGGGGCTACGGTTGATTTTTTGATGGGTTTGGGTCGGATTTTTTTTCTGGTGTTGTTTGGTGGGAGAGGTTGACTGAGAGAAATGGAAGACTGGACTGGAAAGAGGAGGAAGGAAGAAGAGGGGAAAAACTGGAAAATGAAAAAAAAAAAAAAAACAAGAAGAAGGAATCGAGCCGCCATTAACGGTGGGTCTGATCTGAACAAAGGGAAGAATTCGCGTTTGTTTGTTTTTGGTCATTGCTGATGTGGCTGTCCCTATTCGTTGACTGGGGCGGCCAAGTCAACCATGGAGTTTCACCTACGGCATTAAACTATGAAAATCTGAAAGTGAAACTTTCCAATTTTTTTACTCACTTTTGCCTTACTGGTTAGTTCAGAACTTTGATTTTTTAACCTCAACCAAATAAATAAATATTATAGGAAGTCTGATTTTGATTTCTCTTTTTTCTTTTACGCAAAAAATTAAAGAAATTTGTTGATTAATAACCTCTTGGAACCTAACAAACGTTGCATTTACCGAATAGGTATCTTTACTTTAAACAACTACTCCTCCCTCCATTTCAATTTGTAGGTCATTTTAAGTTTAGAAATATTTTTCAAAATGTAGATCGTTTTACAAATTCTAAGTAAATTAATGACTATTTTTCAACTTTACTCTCAATAAATGATACTAATTTATTTTTATTTAGTCTTGTTTATAGTTCTAATGTAATTAATGAGGGATAAAATAAATATTTAACACTTAAATTAATTGTTAGATAATTGTCTCCTTAGTTTATGTGTTAAGTCTAAAAAGACTTACATTTTGAAATGGAGAGAGTATTTTCTTAAATTTCTATGAAAATTAGTTTTGCAAAATTTATGCTCATGTACATTCTTCTTAAATCATTCTTTAAGTTCTAAATTTAACCGGATAACTCCGGTACAACTCCCAGACGACCAATGGTTCAACTAAAAATATGACAAATGATCTTCTGTGACACTTTTCTATAACATTCTCAGTGACATTAACTAAAATCTTGACACGTGTTTAAATCAGTTGCTAAATAGAGTTCACTTATCATCTGGTTAGGGTGGTAGTAAATTAATTATTCTAACACGTGTCAATCATTTAATCAACGCCACAAGGAGTGTCACACAAAATGTTACAAAACATCCTAATTCATATTGAGATCGAAGGGAGTATAAGAATGCTTTATGGAATAGAAGGATAAACAAAAGTTTTACGTCCAAGATAAAATGAATGAGTTGATATTAAAGTATAGAAGTATTAGTCATATGATTCGATACGCCGGGAACCCCACCAGAGATGGGTAACCCCACGCCCACTGCAATAGCTTGCAAACTATAGTGGGAGGTAAGCCACCTTAGGCAAGCACGGGATGACAAGCTCGGGTACAAAATCGGAGATTCATTAGTGGGTTAGCCATAACAAACCCCTAGAGGTGCCAATAGGCAAGGTGAGAGCCAACCCCTCACTTTTTGTTGGAGTGAGGGATTGAACTCATGACCTCCTCTTAGAGTAAGGGTGGTTTTACCACTAAATCAACTCCTCATTTGTTGTATCAAAGCGGAGAATTTCTTAAAGTGAGGAATTTCTGATATTATTAGAATCGTCCGTTTATAAATAAAAAAGAAAACCTCCAAAATTTGAAAATTCCAAGGGAATGCATTAATGGCATAAGCTTTTTTGGGGAATCTGTATCAAAGCAACTGCACTAGTATTTTGTTAAATTTGATACTGAGCCCAATAATTTACTGCTAAATATCATTCTGAGTTTTATTCATTCAAAACCGAGTTATATAGGTGAGCGATCGTGAAATAACATATCCATTTTAATCCAGTTTGGTGAATTATCTCGAGATATCTGATCCATTATCTTTAATTTATTATTCTAATTTATCTCAACATTATCATATTATTTGTAAGAAAGATATAGACCATTATTTTGGGACGAAAAAACTATCAACGAACTAGTTATTAACTATTATATTTTGATGTAAATTTCATATCTATATATCCATGCTTCCATGGAATCAATTTACAAAATTTCAATCTTTAAAACCACGATGACTTAGTCAAATTACTAATCTTTATCATGAGTACTACTAATTAAACTCTCCAGTCTCCACTGTAAGGACTTAAACATGGAAGAAATATTCTTATTAATTTATCCAATGACGAATAAACAATAGAAAAAAGAACGGAAAAAAATAAGAGGCTCAATACTGAATCTTTGGTCGAACATATCCGAGGTAAAGAAAAATGACGAGTCCAAATTGAACCCTAGGCCTATTGGGTCTAAGATTAGATTACTTGGAAATTAAGCCACCACCTAAACCTATTCCGCTAGGGTTTCAAGAAACAGGTAACACCACCTCTATATAAAGAGGTTGTGCTTCTCCCATAATACACATCTTCTACCTATCTTCTACACCTTCTACACACGATACACATACCTCTCTCTCTATTCTTTTTATTCTCTTATTGACTTAAGCATCAGAGAGGCTACCCTAGGGAGTCACCCGAGGCTCTGTCTTGCAGGTTTTAGGCCGTCCGCCGCCACCTAGATCATCGCCGCTGCCCGTCCTAAGGCACCATACAAATCCAAGCTTCGTCAAGTGGCACGCCCGGTCGGACCGATTTGTTTGGTCTTCACAACGAAATAAATTTCTCTAAAAGAAGTCGAATTTGTTGTTTCTTCATGGTGTCCCAATTCGTACTGAAAGTAAAGATCAAGAATTAGGAAATTTTTGTAAAGATGCAAACCGTCGATGTCTACGTCAACCTCCTCCAATCGGCGATCAGATCGACGACAATTCTGTCGACTTCCTTGTCAAGTTACTCCCTCCGACGCAGAAGCTGACATCACAAACTTTCCTCTCAAATTTTTGAAACAAGCCCGAGAAGATTCATCAATTTTTAGATTTTGCAACTCAGCCCCTTTAGCTTTTTATGGTTGACTAACCCTAATAGTTTTATAATTTTGCAGATTAACTCCCTTAAGCTCAAAGCAAGGGGCAATTTTGAAGATTGGAGTTTCGAGAGATACATCACCTCGAAGAGGCAACCATCCCTTGAGTAACTTACTACTACACGAAGTGTTCGAGAAGACGTATCTCGACTTTCTTCTACTCAACTACTACCTTCTCGCAATCAAGGTAACACATTCTCGAATAATCAATTTATCTCGAGATCGAGGTACTTCTCAAACCTTTTTTAATATATTTCTCGAATCTAAATCAATCTACTGCTGATATCATTAGCATATTACTACTATCATACCAAGATATCTTTTTAAGCACGATCAAAGGAGTTCTTCAAGTTACAAACCCTCTCGCGGTAAAAACCTATCATGTTTCAACGAGGAAAACGTACTCGGGGCACAAACAGGGACATACCCTTAGGGCAAGTAATTTGAGGGATCATTCTAATATCCTCTGCTTGAACTGATATTACTCATAATCATCTTATTACTATGTGTCATTACATTATTACATTACCTATCGCATCTCGAACATCCAAACATATAGGGTTCCTCCCTTTAAATAAGGAAATCCAGGCGTCATCCTCCCAATTCGGCATCCAGCCACTATCCTCCGAATTCGGCATCTAGGCGCCACCCTCCTAACTCGGCATACACGGGCTTCCCCCTCCTAATCAGGAACTCACTTATACAAAGACCTCCTCAAGGCACTTTATTCTCTTTATCTTATATAGGTAACACTCGGGAACGAACGAGTTCAAGAACTGGGGCAACACCATGAAACTCGAGAAGACATCAACACTCGTAGCAACCCATATTATTCTCCTCAAGTCTCGAGAATATGGCTTGCTAGGGGCACTTGACGAGTCCAAACTGAACCCTAGGCCTATTGGACTTAGGATTAGGTTACTTAGAGATTAAACCACCACCTAAACCTATTCCGTTAGGGTTTCAGGAAACATGTAACACCACCTCTATATAAAGAGGTAGTGTCTCTCCCATAATACACATCTTCTACCTATTTTCTATACATTCTACATACGATAAACATACCTCTCTTTTTATTCTCTTTATTCTCTTATTGACTTAAGCATCGGAGAGTCTACCCTCGGGAGACACTCGAAGCTTTGTCTTGCAGGTTTTAGGCCGTCCGCCGCTACCTAGATCATCACCGCCGCCCGTCCTAAGGCACCGTAGAAATCCAAACTTCGTAAAAAAAGATGAGAGAAGAAGATTACGCTCTTTCAAGGAAAAATAGTGAATTTAGGTGATGCAACATTTTTTTAGCTTCATTGGAGGATAGCACTTAAACATTAATATCGCTAACTATATAGATAGATTGTCATCACAATTCAACCAAGCAGACTTAATTTTCAACCTGATCACAAGCTTTCAAACTCCAACTAAAAACAAGAAGCGATGAGAAGATTTATTGAAAAATTATGCCATTTAGTTTATAGTGCCTATTGAGGATTTTATTGTTACGGGATCACTTCGTTTGATTTATACCTATGGAAAAGAAAGATGTGTATTTTTTGTTAAAATTATGGCGTTGAATTTGTCGTTTACTCAGCCAATCCGACCAAAATGTTGATAAAGCCAAAATATATATATATATATTTTATATTTTTATAATTTCACTTGGAAAATTAAACTTCTTATTTTCACGTGCTTGTTTGCATTGAGAAGACGACAAAAAATCGACATCGATTCTAACTAAAATGAATAATATATCAAATATTTGGTTTGATATTCTGTAATTGGTTGGAAATTCGAGAAAAATTGAATTTTATATAATGCACTTTTTTTTCTACCTAATCACACCTTCTATAATCTATAGTATTTAATTAAAGCAGCATCATGTTGTTGATGTGTCAGCACCACAATGAAAATTTTACCACTAAAAGTCATTTTCAGTACAAAATTATTTTTGACATGTGGCACTCTAACTATTCAATAAAAATAGAATAAACAAATAAATAAGTCCCTTAATTATAGTTCATTACGAATCTCTTAATTATAGCTATATACTAATCTCTTAAAATAGGAAACTTGAGTTGATAAAATCAAATGTAAAAAAATTCCTTTAAATCACGTGAAACATTATTGCGAGTAATGCCTCCCCAATCCCCGTAAATACAAAATGGTAAAATGAAAATTGGCTCCAGCATACAATTGGCTCAATCAAATATATAATACCTCAATCAAGTATTTTTGCTCAATGTAATACAATTGGCTCAATGAAAATGAAGGCAATCCCCTTAATATTTTTGCTCCAGTAGACAATTGGCTCAATCAAAAAGACATCAATCCTTAAAATTTGATTTAAAACCTAGAAACCGGAAAACCAAGAAAATTACATGATGCTATCGCGGGAGATCAATACCGAGGGAGCAAAAGATGGTCAGCTCTCCATTATGACAATCAGGAGAGTGTATCCAAGGATTCTACCACAGAATGTTTATTTGTTAGTTCAAGAAATATTATCTCAACAGTATTGTAATTTGTTATTAGCTAACGGGCATGACCCGCAAGTAAAAGACAATATATTTATTTTACTTACATGTACAAAATTTCACATTATCGTGATCTGTATTATAATATTATATTATAAATATTATTACTCTAAGATATACTTTTTCACTTATAATTTTTTTATTTAACAATTTTAAGACACATGCGCCAGTAACTCATGCGAAAATCTATTCAAAATTCCACCGTTGATATTCATAATGGCTATTAAAATTTTTCTGCTTTGACATTTTCACTCATTGATTGCTACGACAGTAAAAGTCAAAACTGTTCATTACGGCTCTGGGTCTTTTGTACCATAATAGTGTTACACTACCTGTGACATTATCTAAAATGCTGCCAAGTGTCCCACACAGTAAACCCACTCTAACCAAACTAAACTCCATTTATCTTATACTAGTTACTTAATTAATTAATAAATCTTATTTTCCAAAATTAAAACATCTTCCCTCCAGTGTTGGGGAGTTTTTATCTTTTTTTGTTTTTCACCGAATGTTAATAGTTTTACATGTAATAATAATAATAATAATAATAATAATAATAATAATAATAATAATAAAATAGTAGTATATTTTGGTGAAGGCGGGCTTTTTCCGCCCCAAAAATTTTTTGGCCAAAAAAATCTCCTTCCTATACAAAATAAAATTGAAGTGTTTGTCTTATTTCTAATGAAATTCCCTTAGTTTATAAGTTAAAGAAAATTTTTTTTTAAAAAAAACTATTTCAATAGTCCCTTATTATTTATTACTAGTACACAAATTAATTACATGAAAATTTACTTTAAATATTATTATTACACATATCATAAATTTGGGTTTTTAGTGTAAAAACTAATGAGTTCAAATATGAGATTATGTATGATGAGATGAAAAATTTACAAAAATCATTTTTCTCTCATAGTACCATCAACTAAAAGTAGATGTGTGAATTTAGAAAATATAAATTTATTGTGAAATAATTAAATTAAACTTAAACCGATTATAAGATGGATGTTTAAGTTTTCAAGTCATATATAATTTCGTTAGATTTTCATTAAACATTTGTTCTAAAATAGTTACACATTTCTCTATTAAATATTGTTATTTAAAAATAATTTTCTTAAGAATTGATTAACTTTTTGATAAAAATGATATGTATGGTGAAAAATAAGCAGTGAAATAGGCTAGCAATTAATTTGGCACAGATATAGTTACATAATTAACTATTTGCTCATTATTGTCTTTTGTTGAAAGAGTGGTTTTGTATTTTGTTTTTAGTCATAATTGTATTTTACCATAAAATTTTACTGACTATTTATTGTTATAAAGTTATATGATATATATTCAAAAGTATAGGATTGTAAGACACATAAACTAATTCAATTCATTATCACTCGCATTACACTAATAGATGCAATATTGCATCTCACAACGTAACCTTGATAATTAACAACATACAAAACATGCTTTCAAATCAATCACAGCTATATTTATCATCTTGTTTGCAATTGTATATTAAGATTTAGGTGGTTATTAACTTGTAGGGTATTTAACTATCCTCAAAAGAGGACTTTCGTTGCAAATGTTATATTTTAGGGGGTTATATTATAAATATATGGTACTTCACAATATTACTTTATGAGCATTAATTTTTTCAAGTGTATAATTTATGGGGACAATTCAAAAATATTAGGGTGTCTTACTATAATATGCTACTTCTATTAATTACTAAAGTATTGAATATAGTCCTAGCAAAAAACTCAATGTTTCCAATTCGACCCAAAAGTTTAAATTAACACTACTAACCCAATTACCTGTATAAAACATTCGATGTATGTATATAAACTCAAAAATAGACTTTTAATTAGTGGGCTTCTCAAGTATTGGCTTTTTAAATTATGTATATATAATAAAATTGTACCAAATTATTAAATTTAAGAAAAACAAAATCACCCACAGATAAAGAAAGCCATAGTTACTTCATGGGTAAATCAAAATTTATCCACATCTCACCTAGCCCAAAATTACCTACGTTTCAATTGTAGTTATGAACACCTATATTTGTAATCATATGTTATTAATAAAGTCATTATTAACTTGTAGAGTATTTAAATATCCTTCTAAGAGGGCATTTGTTTTAAATAACATATTTTATGGGTTGAACCATAAATATATATTAGGGTGTCTCATTAATTTTAGTTTATGATCATTGTTCTAAATGTTATAATCTGTGGGGTCAAATTGAAAATATTAGGGTGCCTTCCTAATATTATTAAAAAATTCATTGCCTATATCAGTTATCATAGTATTGGATTGGGCCAAGAATATAAAAAGTCAATATTTATGGTTTGACCCAAAATTTGTAACTAATAAAATTAGTCCAATTACATTGTGTTGGGCTAGTATTGAATTGGATCAAGATCAAAATTTACCATAATTTACCAACATGCACATTACCCACGGACAAGGCCGTGGGTAATCGATGAGAAAGTAAACAACGAAAATTGGCGGGATAAATTCACCACGGCAAAAGATAGTTTTGAAAAATTTCGGGGGTAACCCGTGAGTAACTGACTCATAAATTTTTATTTCGTGGGTAATTGAAGGCTAAATCAAAATTATCTACAAATTACCCACGGAAATATACTCACAAAACATTTCGTGGGTAATCCGTGGGAGAATAATTGACGGGATTGGCGTGACGAATTTACCCACGGAATACCCACGGTCAGATACAACTGTGGGTGATTCCATGGTAAGTTCGTGGGTATAACGTGATCAAATAGAAATGAAAGTTTTTTTTTTCCTAATTTTATGGGTAATCTCTGGGTATTCCGTGGATAAATACCCACGGAAAATTTTGGCTGTGGGTATGCCGTGGGTGTTCGGCCATTTTCTTGTAGTATAGTATTGAGTATTTTGTTGTTTTATCACCCTCACTTATTTATTGGTGTTATTGTAAAAATAATAAGATCTTTGTTTTTTTTTGTTGAAATTTTTGATGTCGATGTTTGATATAAAATTCTTGATTTTGTGTTATTTTCAGAATTTTTATATGATTTGATAATTAATAAATTTTATACTTTGCAGTTAAAATTAATGTTATAAATTATTTACATAAATTATACATTTTTACTTTTCCTTTAAAAAAATTCAAATTTGTACTTGCTTGCTTGCATTAGAAAGAAAACCAATGGGCCTAAATATTATACACGGAATCCTTTTTACCCTATTAAAGTAGAATACAGGATGTTGATGTGGCAATTTCTTATTAAAAAATTTTGGCTCCAAATGCACCATATTGCTTTAACCATTTTGCCATGTGTCATCCATTTTTAAAAGAAAAAAAAAACTTCTTATCCGGAAAAACAAAAGCTAATTTACAAAAATAGCTACACAATTTTAACTCCTAACACTTATCATTTATCAATCAAACTAAGATAGGATTTAAATTTATCCATAAACTTATCCTTTTTATTACTCCATTCTTTTGTATGATTTCTGCATTGGTGTACTTTTCAATATTTTTTCTCCTTTTACAGATGATTTTTTATTTTTATTTTTATTTTTGGCTAAAAAAGAGAAAAAATAAATGTATAGCTATTTTATTTTTTTCCAAATCAAAAATTCATTTATCTATTAACACAAAATTAAAGTAGAAGGGGCACCCGGACATCTGTCTGGGCCAAACATCTAGTATTGTATTAAATCATCACATCGATATTTCATGACACATGTAAAAAATCGAAACGGTTCAAAATTGATGTAGGGGTATTCCATTTACAATCCAATAAAAATGTCGGCACAATCTAAAAATATATATGTTTAGAAATTTAAACTTTGACTTTCTTATTGACAATTGAGAAGTCTGTTTGCTTGTTTTATTTTTTAATTTATCACAATATATGTAAAAAAGCTTTGCGTGTGTTTTTTTTTGTGGTTTAGCAAATTCAACGAAGGCAAAATAAAAAACCTGTAAGATGGGGAAGAAGAGACCGCTAGCTGTTTGAAGAGCTGGAGAGAAATGAGTAATCAAACAAAAATGTATCATGTATGTAACTCAAGCTAATACCAGATGCTTTTTCATTAAATTTGAGGCCTAGCTAGCTAGTAACATTTTCTTTAGAAACTCAAATGCTAAATATATAATCCCTCCGATAATTATAAGACATAAATTTAAACTAATTTTATTAATCTGTGTCTTATAATTAGGATCGAAGGGGTGTCGGGATGAATTAAAATAAGCTAAGTTTTTTGATGATCGATAATCTATATATAGGAGATGAAGAATCCCGCAAGCTAGCAAACCAATAAAAAACTAAGTAGCTATATGTATCTTGCTACGCATCTGGAGCATGTTTAGCAGCTTCAATCCAATATGATAGCAGTAATAAGCATCATGAATGGCATACTTGATATCTTCCTCCGAGAAGAACTTAGATCCCCAATCAATAGAGCGCGCTGTTAGATCCACATTTTTGGTCGCAACTAATCCAGATTGAGTCGCCAATTGGGCAACGCTGACTCATTTCTGCAGTGATGGATTCTTAAGAACCGAGGCAGCCAAATCTCCGGCTTCGGCTTCAGTTCCGGTGATTTCCAATGCATGCTTGCGCGTCGCCTGGTTGTTGTTGCGACTTTTTAGTGTTTGGTATACGCCATTGATTTTAAAACCCACGAAGCAAATACTCTTGTCATTTAGAAAGTCCCTGAGGCTTCCATAAACCAAGCCATTCTTGGGTTTCAGTTGAATGATCAAGCAACGATCTTTAACGTGCAACAAGAGCAAATCCGGCATCCCTGCAGTTTTGTCGGATCCCTTGAAATCGATTCCCACAACAGGAGGATTGTCCATTCGAGATTTCAATTCGGATATGCCTTTGCCCAATAGGTCATATTGATTCTCTTCCCTGATTGTTGCCTTAACCTCAACACCATTGATTTGGATATCATAAAAACCCATTTTCGATAGTATTTCAGTTGGAACCCCCTTCATTGGTATAGTGACCTATTAAATGAAATGGTTTGGTGGTTGTTCTCCTATTCATGTGTGCATATATATTACTGAAAGGCAATTCAATGGTCATTTACTTTTCTTTTCTTTCCCTTTTTCATTGAACAAAAAATAAATAAATAACTAAAGAAGGAAATTTGGAAAGTTTTCCGGGCATGCATGCATGTTGATTAATTAATTGCTAAGGCAGGAAAGGCTAAAAGACGATTGAAGATATCAAAGTTCATTGAATTTTGTTACCCTTAAATTGGCGAAGGAATTCGAAAGATTGTGCTCAAGCAAATGGCCCTAACTTTATCGGGTCAATTGGATTCATGCCCACGAGATTTCGTAACACTGTTAAACGGATCTTCTAGTTAGTTAGTTAGTATTGCAAACTTGAATCCAAAATAAAAAAGTTCTGGTTAAATTTGGTTCATTATGGAATCAATAGGGAGCTGATGAAAACCATAGTTCAGCGCACTAGACCATATCCATAATTAAAGAAGCAAATTAATTCTGCGGATTTCTTAGGGTCCTTCAAGGATCCAACCGGTTGGAGACCACCTATGAGTGAAGACCTTGGCAGGCACGTTACCTACGGGAGTCACTTATTCTTATAATATAACATTTTAATTCCATTCAACACAATATTTTGCAAATTTTCTAAACTCAAGAACGCCCAATAATTAGTATTCTCTCCGTATCATAAAAATAATCTATATTATAATTGGAGTTGTTATTATAAATTTCTATTAAATTTTAGAATAATTTATAATTAATAATTTACAAGGTGAATTATTTTTGTGAGACTAACATTAAGTTTTATATTCCCACTTTTAAGAGCAAGTTGCCGTTTGTTCTTTACGTTTGGCAATTATATGGAGTTGAGGCAGGCAGGATAAGACATACATTAGGGGTGGCATGGAGAGATTTGATTTCTAGAGCCATCAAAGAACTACTCGATAGACTGGATTGTGAAATTAAACTATACATTTCAGAAGTCTTATTTTGTAACTGATTATTTAGCATTTTCAGAGACATTAATTTTGAAAATTTCAAGCGTTTATATATATATATAGAATACTGTGACCGTAACAAACTCACAATCGGAACACGAAATTTTCAGGATTTCCCACGAATGACTAAATTTAATGTCTTTGACAATATATTCAGCATTTGATGACAATTAAAATATATGGTGTCAAGGATCTTGAAGAAGTATCTGCAGCCTGCATTAATCCATTACTTTATTGTTGCTTTGTTTTTTCATAATCACAGACATGTAGGGAATTCGTATCAGTCCGACTTCGTGAAAGCCAACTCTTTAAGTTGTTTTTTTTTTCTCTTTTCTTTTTAAGAACTCAGAAGCCAACAAGAAAGACAACTAATCACAGCACATTTTTAGTTCTGATTGGTTCAAATGTTCCGTTTGACCTTTGCTCAAAAGCACAAAAAAAAAAACAAAAAACCAAAAATGTAAAGAAGTTAATTTATTAAGAAATGTTAGATCGACCGCCAAATTATTTGCTATTGTCTTTTATTATTGGACATGGAATTTCAGACTGCAAACCCCAAAATTTTTATACTGAAATTGGTTTTGAAGAGGGTTTATACTACTTTATAGTACACTATAGTCCAGCAACCTGATTGAAAGAAATACGTTTTCTTTTTAATATGTAGACTTCCATATTGTCGAATTGTTGTCTCGTAATACATTGTAAAAAAATACCACTAGTGTATAATTACTATTTTTATATAATTTTAAAATAATTATACTTTGTTGGACAGAATAAGTAGTAGTTCACATGAAGTATAATTATTTTTATTTTATTTTGTATTCTGCAACAACAATTTCCACAGTATCGTAATTGTTTTGTTCAGGGCCATAGGATCTTCTTCCTGTAAGAAAAGAGTGAGTACATTTTATGTAACTTTTATATTTTCAGAACCAAAATTTAGATTAGAAAGAATCAGTAAGCAAAAAGTGTGTATATATATATATATACCATGCTAGCAATTTCTTCAAAAGTTTTCGAGTCAAAGACAGATATCCTTCTTTCCTATCTATGTTTTTTTTTAAAGTTACTTTGATCCCAAACATTAACTTTCTCTCTATCCCAAAAATTCTAGTACTAAAATGTGGGAAACCTATATGATACAGGAGTACATTTCTAGTACTCACTCCGTCTCATAATTATTGTCCAGTTTTGAGTTTCATTTTTAGTTCAAATTATACTAAAAGTGAAATTTCAAACTGGACAATAATTTTAGAACAGAGGGAATATATCTTAAATCGACAATAGAAATATTATGCAATTTGTAATTTCCCCCCTCCTTTTCTTTTTTCTTCTCTTATGTTTTTTTTTAATTAATTAGGGAATCAAAAACATAATTTACAAAAAGTTCATCCACGGCTGAAACATCTCCTCGATAATTTAAGGGTGGGGAAAAAAAAGGGCAAATATTTTTGAATCATGAGTTACATCCAAAGGGAATACTAATGTGATTAATGTTTTTTTAAGGAGTTTTAGAGCCCAAGAAAATGTCATTAATTCTTCTATAAAACAATGGTGACATAAGGCTAAGCTAAGAAAGAGAAAGAGAAAAATCATCAGCAAAAAACTCAAAAAAGGAGAATTTTCCTAATCAATGGGGTGATTTCCCAAAACATTCCATATGCAAAAAAATAAAAATTATTAAAAAAAAAAGAAAAGAAAAGAAAAAGAAAAAGAAGGAAAAAAGGGGGGGCATTTATCACGCACTCACACAGTAATACAACGTCCGAAACGCCACAAACCGCCATACCTCCTCCCCCGGAAAAGGTCTTTTCCTGTCCTACCACCACCGTACCCCGCCGGCGATTTTGTCTTCCAGATCACGGAGAATTCCTTCATTGCTCCTTTCTGTACATTTCCGGAATTCCCAGCCCTTTTATTCTCCCAATTCGCCAAAACCCCTGTTCAATATCCTTCGCATATTTGCGCAATTGGCCCACCATTATACTTAGATATACTTTTCTCCAAATTGGCGGAATACTAGTTCTGGGATTCGTTTTATCTTCAAACTGGACCTACTCATTGTGAGTATGCACCGTAGAGAGGGAAGGAGATGGCGTTAAGCCGTGTCGAAGCTAACAGTGAGTTTGAAAGCTGTCATTCTGTTCTTCAAGCTTGAGGGAGGAGGCGAGCCGTGCGGATTTGGTTTGTTTTGGGGCTCGTGAGCTTGGGAGCTTTTTGAATTTCACATGGCAAAGCGGGTATATGAAGTTTGGAAAGGAAGTAATGTAAGCTCAAATGATTTTCTCTCCTTGCCTTTTGTAGTTTAAAAGTTTTCCTTTTGAGCTCTGAGATGTTTGTTAGTAATTCGATTTCGGGTTTTTTTTCATTATTATGCATCTGGGCTTGTTGAAATTTTATGCGGTTTGCTTAATATTCTCGCGGGTCTGGGGTTTATTAGTTGTTTGTTTGGCAATTGTGCTTTGGCTTGTTGTTTATTACTGGCTTAGTGAATGACTTTTGGTTGAAGGACTTACAATTTTTGGAGTATTTGGAAGCGGGGGAGGTTTCTCATCATCCATAATTAGCATTTGAGTTCCTGTGGTATTAACTTGGATTATGTAGATTTGCCGTGGTATGGGTATTTGAGTAGATGGAGGTTTCAGGAAAGGAAGGTCTTCTCAAAATGTGTATATGCAGCACTGAGCTCTTACCATATCACCGTCTTTCTGTCCGGGCATTGTGAGCTTTGCATGTCAAATGCTCAGGGGTTGTCTGGTGACTCATGGTTTTTCTTTTTTTCGGGGGGAAATATGTACCTGTATATATATTAATAACCAATACCTGTATTATTACATCTCATTTTATTATAAGCCGTATTATGTAGTTCATAAACATCATCTCCACCGACTTTAATCAATTGGCAGAATTGAAAAGGGGACATAAGTGACACTATTGAGGCAAACTAGTTCTTGTGCTCCGACTGAATAGTTGTAGCCCATAAATCCGAAGTTAAAACTCCACAATCTGTATGGACTTGAACTCGCTATATTATATACTTAAGAGGTGATGAACTCTAGGAATTTTGAATTTCTGTAGCTACAATGTTGGTCTTGAAAGGGAGCGATGGTGACTGCGGTAAGAGCTGGTGCTATGTTACTTGAGAGGTCATGGCAACAGCTCAAAAATAGCAATTTTCTCTACTTGACAACACTGGCTTTTATTTTCGAGTTCTGTTTAGTGAATCTTGTTATGTGCTCTAAAGACGTGTGGATATATTATCTACCCAAAAAGAAGTAGAAGTTATGTTTTCCCCTTGCTTTGTTTCTTTTGCTTACCAGTTGTGGACATTGTGGACCTTCTTCCCTGAAGTCCTTCCGTTCCATGCTTATTTATTTGTGAGAGGACATCCTTTAATGTAAATCAAGAGTTAGGTCTTTTGCTAGTGAGAAAGAGATGCCCTGAGATTTAGTAATGCAGCCTTCAAGTGATTTTTTAGACCTGAGCTTCTATTGTGTTTTCGTATACGAATGCAGATTTGAAGGGTATGTGCAGTTAGTTTAGGAAAGCTGTGTAAAAGTTGGTTAAACAAAAATTGTCCTATAGGCTTGTTTCAATGACCCAACAGCTATGGTTGGGCAAGCTGTATGGCTGCTCTGCTATACACCTTCTTGTCGGTTTAGTTTTGTCTGACAATAAGACAAGATTATCTAGGATTCATTTGGCTGGCTCAGAGTAACATGTGGTAGATCTTCAGGAGGGGAACATATTTTTTTCTGCCTTTGGATACTTTGTTTAGGGTATTTTGGGGAAATTTTGTGTTTTTTTTTTTTTTTTTCTGGGCAATATTTATACTTCCTATGATGTTATCTAGCAATATGCAAATTTTTCTTGGTTTGGGTATTCTAGGAGATGGAGGTTTTCAGAAGAGGAAGACCTTCAAATGTGTACATGCTGCGATCTCTTACCATATTGTCACGGGCCTATCCAGGCATTGAAAGGGTGGTGTGGCAAATGCTGAGGGGTTGCCGCGTAAGGCATGGTTAGGTATTTAATTTTGCAGTGGTAAAAATATTGGAACTTATCATTTTTTGGAGTTCCAATGTTGAAGGGAACCCTGGCCTAGCTGTATGGGCTGGTGCTATGTGACTTGATGTCACGGTGAGTCTCTGAAGTACCCATAAAGGGAGGCCAGTCATCTGGCCTTAATGGTCATTTCCTTCCCAAGCGAGAGCTTTTATTTGTCAGGCTACCCTTTTTCCTCCTAATTGACAAGGCAAATTTAATTATTTTTGCATCTGTAGATCTTTCCATGTACACTAGAGGAATTAGGGCAACCCCCCTCCCATGCTGAATTTATTTAGTATTATTACTTTTTATGTTTACATAGTTGTGGAAAATTGTCGACATTATTTTCTGTACTTACATATATATCAGGGGAAGGAGATCCTATATATTGTACGTCATGAAATGGGTAAAAGTGTGAAAGAGATAAACTGGACTACTGTGTGCAGCCTTCAGCTGAAGTTTAGACCTAAGTATTTAATGGAGATTGTGCAGTTAGTTTATGTGATGAACGTAGTTAGACAAACATGTGACATACTGCAGCTACTCTGCTAGCCATCATGTTCTCGGTTTAGTCTTGGGTGAGAGTTAATATTTGTTGTCGTTATTTTTATTTTCCTTTTTTAAAGTCTTGGCTGAGAATCAGACTCTCCAAGAGTTATCAGAATTCATGCTCATATTGCGACAGGTGATTGATCTCAGGTTGTTTGAAGTTTGGACCCCCAAAAGATGCTTTAGACAACTGTTACTTCCTTGATTATTATTGAGAGTACACATCAGAATCCAATCTTAAATTAAACTCTGACCTTAATTAATTGCTTGGCTTAGACTCCAATGTGCTCTTTCTTAAATGGCATGTGCAAGTTTTAACGATTGCTTACTATCATAGTAATCTGAGGTAGATGATACTGGAATGATGGAAGAAGTAATTGACACATTTACTTGGCTTTACTCTGTCCATAGCATGGCAGTTTTGTTTAGTAACTAGGTGGATGTCTTAAGGTTATGCTCGTTGATGCTTCTGTATTTGCCTATTCCTGTTTTTGGTAGTCCTTTGTGTATCCTTATTAGCCCCGTCTCCTGGGAACGGCGTTTTTTTCAGTAGCTTAGAGATGCTAAACTTCGCTAGTTGATGATTCAGTAGTGACCATTAAAATCTTTTGAGCAATTTCAAATAATTTCATTCCTGGAACCGCGATTTCCATGGGATGTTAGTTGTACGAGCCCTCTTAGTTCTTCCACCTTTACTCAGACACATGTTATTGTATGATGAAAAAACATGCCAAGATTAAGGCTCATCCTTCAATTAATTTCTAATCTCTTGCTCAAAGCTATATGTGTTCATACATATACAGCGTATTCTGCATCTGAGCTATCTCCAGCTTGACACAGTGGCAAAAATCAGCATTGGCAATGCTCATAGTCATTATCAGGGCAGTATTGATCGAGAATGAGTAATCTTTATGGGTTTCATTTTGATTATATGTACATCTATACATGTTCCTTGGTTAATGCAATCAACTATGGGTTAATGCTATGTTTTGGCAAACTAGGGGCCTACATCTGGCTCAGAGACGGATAAAGATTTGCATGGTTTTGTTTGAATTGAAACTAGGATGACACAGTAACTTTTCTACTGGAACTTCTGCAGAAATTTTTCCTGGGTGGGAGACTGATCTTTGGGCCCGATGCAAGGTCACTGCTTGTCACTTTGTTGCTAATTATTGTGCCTGTCATTGTCTTCTGCGTGTTCGTTGCAAGCCATCTTCGCCATCAGTTTAAATCATATAATGCTGGATACTTGATTCTCGCTGTTGCTGTAGTGTTTACAATACATGTAAGTATTCTGGAATCCTTCTCTTTTCATCTAGCTAATAATTTATAAATCCTTGATTATTATCCACATTATCCAATCTGAATAAATGAACAGATCTTTGTGGTTTTTCTTTGAGACCAGTTGCATATGCTGTATGTTGTGTTTGTGCGTCTACATTTCCTTGAAACCAGTTGTACACGCTGTATGATGTGTGTGTGTCCACATACTTTGGCCTGCATGCAATGGTCATCAGTTGTGGAAGTTTTCAAGAGGGTTTATAGATTTCAGGCTATTTTCTTACATTGAATTGTTCCATATTATATTCTTTTCAATCTTAGATGTCATACTTTTGCATCATCCGTGCAGCTAATATTGCTATTACTTGGTTAGGTCTTGGTCCTGCTACTCCTTACATCAGCTAGAGACCCAGGTATCGTTCCTCGCAATGCTCATCCGCCAGAAGAAGAGTTCCGTTATGACACATCTGCATCAGTTGAGATTGGTGGAAGACAAACGCCAAGCCTTCAGTTCCCTCGAACAAAAGAAGTAATGGTGAATGGGATGCCAGTCAGAGTGAAATACTGCGATACATGCATGCTCTATCGCCCTCCTCGGTGCTCTCACTGCTCTATCTGCAACAACTGTGTGGAGCGTTTTGACCATCACTGCCCTTGGGTTGGGCAGTGCATTGGGTTGGTATGTTCCTATGGCTATATACTGTTTCACCCTCCCTTTTTTCACACCTTGCCTGCTGCGGCATTTGCATAAAATAAAAAGCTCCTAATTTTGTGTTTCAACCTTTTCTAATTGCAGCGAAATTATCGGTACTTCTTTTGTTTTGTATCGTCTGCTACACTGCTGTGCATCTATGTGTTTGCCTTCTCTGCTTTCTACATTAAGGTTCTTATGGATAGCGACCATGGCACAGTTTGGAAGGCAATGAAAGAGTCTCCTGCATCTGTGGTTCTAATGGCATATTGTTTCATTTCTTTGTGGTTTGTTGGAGGGCTGACTGGCTTTCATTTGTATCTCATAAGTACAAATCAGGTTTGTTGCTTTCATTCTTTAGGTTCGGTTTACCTTTCTCCCTGGGGTTATTTTTTGGTTTCAATTTGTGGTTTCAATTTGTCCTTTTCCTTTTGGCTTTTACGTATTGGATTTATGTGTTGGTTTTGTATTTCTTTTAGATGCATATATGTTAGTTTGGGCTCTGTTAGCACAGTGGGACTTTTCAATGCTTTACCTGTGGCAATCTTTTAATGTTTGTTGTGTGATTGAATTCCTGGTGCATGAGGAATGTGTTTGTGTTAGATACTATAAAGCAACTAGCTAAAGTAGTATTCAAAAGAGGAATATCCACCATTGTCTTCGATGGATAGATTTTGGTTTTTTAATTCTAGACTATGTAGTTATAGGTCATAGTTTGGTATATCATCTTTCTCTCACGTGAGGCTAGAGAGTATGTGTGCTGGTTACGTTTTTCTTCTGAATTTTGTCCTTCATTTTAGTTTGTACCGGTGATGCCGAAACCTAATTGCCCCCTGCTTGTGTCTCTGGTTGCTATTGATTTGGTAGTCTATGTTCATGTAGTTTGAAGTATCTTTTGCATGGCTGCTGTAAACTTTCTTTTCAGCTTGTAATCTTGATTTTGTCATGTCCATTATTTAAAAGAAGACTATTCAATTGTTAAGAACATTCTTTTTATCCTTCAAATATCCTGTAATTTCTGATCCTTTTATTGTTTTGTCAGACAACCTATGAAAATTTCCGCTACCGGGCTGACAACAGGCTCAATGTGTATGATCGTGGTTGTCTGAATAACTTCATGGAAGTGTTCTGTACAAAGGTAAAACCCTCCAGGAACAAGTTCAGAGCTTTTGCCCAAGAGGAGGCGCCAAGGCCAACTTTGCCCCCAACTAGGGAAGTTGAAGCAGAGGATATGCGTGAGGATCGGCGAACAAAAGTTGAGGATGATTTAGACATAGGTGGCGATCTCTTAAAGATCTCACAACGCCATAATATTGAAGACATTGAAGCTGATATAAGAAGCAGAGGGAGTGATGTGGTCCATCATAATTCCTCGGAGGGCGATTCAGTGCTTGGTTCAGACAGACGAGCCCCAGGTGTTCAAGCTGATATACGGCATTCAAGTTGGGGAAGGAGAAGCGAGAGCTGGGAGATTGCACCAGAGGTCCTCGGGATGAACTCCAACACCCAGGAGAGTCGGGGTTATGCAACGTCGAAAGAAACATACCAATAGCTTGAGTGTACAGCTAGCTGTTAAAGGAGCTCTCCGCAAACGGTTGATGCTGCTTTTTGCTTCTGGTTTTTGGGGAAAACATGCCACTATCCACCTGTTAGCTAAACCAAATCTGACTTCCCTAGGAGAAAAATCATTACTTCTTTCCTTTATAATCTGAAGGGCTTCTGGCCTTCCATTAGCTGGTGGATATGGGTCTTTGTGTAATGTAGGAAGGCAGCAAAGAGGTGTGTAATTGATTGGATTGAAAAGAGGGGAAATTGTTTTGTCCTATTCCTTTTCCTTGGCCATTTATTTCATCCATGCTTTCTTGTGTTCTTTCTCTCTTTGTAATTTTTTTTTTCCCTATTTTTTCTTTTGGGGTGGATAAAAGTTGAAAGATCTGTGTGCTCAATTGATTTGGAACTGTAGTGTTGACATTTATCATTTTCTTTGTTTTCTCTGGTGTAAATTTTCAGTCAAATTGACATTTTATATCGACTTTCTGTACTCGATCCAGTGACCAAAATGTAGTAGATCAACAATGTTCTTCCTCTCTCTGGCCCAAAACAATTATAATGTTTGTTGTACTACCAATTTCTTTACCGAAGAGGTAGTCAGAAATTAACTTCAGAAATGGACCTTTATGATACGGTTAACACCATTGTCTTTTTCAGTTGAAGCACCGTTTTAGTGTTTCATGTAACTCATGGCCTCCATTACAACACCCTAGTAGAGCCATTTAATCCCATTCAACTCTCCAGTAATTACTAATTAAAATTGCTTCATTGAAGGGATCCCTTCTTTCAACAGATGAAGCAAATGCAAATAACGCCCATCTCCTTCATTGCAAACATTGTGGTTTTAGAGCTGTAGTGTTTATTACTTTATTGACTCATATGTTACTCTTGTATTCTTCAAATGAAATATAAAGAATCCTATATAAATACAAAGTACATATATGTACATACTACATACCACTTCAAAAAACATAGTTCTTGAGCAAAAATTTCATTCTTTACAATATAATAAGAAATTAGGAAGCCCTCAGTAAGAGGATCAATCTCCAGAGATGGTGTCTAACACAAGTGTTAAGTTCTTCTGCATTGCATTCTTTGTGAAAGTTCTCATTTTTATGACTCCATCATCAACATATGCACAAGGGAGCCCTAATTCTTCCAAAACTGTTGACGATTTCTGCAACCAAAGATCAACAAGCGAAGATCGCGCCTTCTGTTTAACGGTCCTGAAATCAAACCCTAGAAGCGCGACAGCCACCGACAACATCAGCCTCCTCAAAATCGCCAAAGACTTGGCTGTTGGAAATGCCAAGAAAACCAGAGACTTTTTCACTACGTTAACCAAGAACAACGGGACTAGACCTTCTTTGCTGCCGGTTCTCGACGAGTGCATCTCGGCTTACGACGAAAGCATCACTGAGCTGTTGCTTGTGACTCAAGATTTGGTGGATGATCCTCCCATGACGGCCTACGATGCCCATGTGGCGAATCAAGAAATGAACAGGTGCCAAGACATTCTCAAGACTAACGGTGTTTCGGACGATTTTATTTTGTCCAGACATAAGATTGCTTCCGATTATGGTCGCCTGATCGAGGAGATTGCAAAGAGTATTTAGAAGTAATGCATAGTCAATTATTGTTTTTAATCACAAAAAGTCGTAGCCCTGTTGGCTGAGTTCTTGAGCCATTTTTCATTCTTGCATGTAGTAGTATAGGTGGTGTTTAGGTGCTTCACTAAAGTTGAGCATTAATTTTATTTAATCTCTTTTCTTCATATTTTGGCCTAAAGATTTGTATTCTTATGTGAGTATTATTATTTTCTGGGTGGCGAACAATGAATATTGAAATCTCTATAACAATGAAAACGGTCCACAAGTAAGTTGATGAACGAATGAGTTGGTAAATTAGGCTATATGTTCCACTTTTTGTTTCTTAATTAATTTCTACGGACGTCAATATCGTATTATTGTTACAAACATTATTTTGTATTTTTACGAAACAAGACAAATGAGTGTAACGTTAAGCGTTAGCGGTTTTTATGTGATTTTCTTAAAAAAAGATTTTATTTCCGATTCTCTAGGGGAAAGGAACTATTTTCGATTGTCAATCACGACAAATTTAAGTACGCGTTTCTGAAAAAAAAAAGGAAAAAAAATCAAAAAAGAAAAGGAGATTTCCTTGGAACTCCTTAAAACCAAAAAGGTTAAAGAAAAGATTTTGCAGGTTTCCTAAAAATAAGTAGATTTGATTTTTTTCGGAATGTCTTTTTTTAGTGTGTGTTTTTAGGTGTTTTTTGTATTAAGAATATAAAAAGGTGTATTAGAAATGTAAAAAGATATGTTGGGATGGAAAAGTAATTATTTTATTAATCTAAAAACCCCATAAAAAAACTAAACAAACAAAGAATAAGGAACCGCCAAAAATAAAGTTGTTCCCTCGATAACAAGTCTATATATATTAGTCCTACAACGCAACCAACGATGAAAAGTCTCTCGATAAACCCTAGCTCTTCTCCTACGCAAAACTCCCATGCGTTGAGAAGCACAAACGCCATCAAATCTAACATTCTGATATATAGTTATCGGGAAAAACATGAGTGAATTGTCTGAATTCCACGATGAGAAAGAAGGGCATGCAGAAGGGCTCTCCTTGTAATGCTCTCCCGCAAAACTGCCCCTCCTCACCATTGTTCATGTTTACTCGTTGTCGCATGTCGAGGTATAAACTTTATAATCCGATCAACAACGAGTTCTTCTACGCGGATGCGCCTAATTTGGGTGACACGACAGTGCGGTGCTCCAATTTCGGTTGGTTATTGATGTCGCGCCCGGATCTTAGCTTGTTCTTCTATAATCCAATCACACAGAAAACTATTGAACTCCCCCGGCCTGGATCAATTTCCCTGTTACGGCAGTGTGCTTTACTTCACCACCAACTTCCTTAGATTTTTGGAGTATTCCCAGATTGCTACTACAGAATGGGAGTCCTAAGACATGGTGAAAAATATTGGAAATTATTTGTTTATCAGATGGCTAGCCTTAACTTTTCCACCAACAATCCTGTTTTCTACAATGGCTCTTTCTACTTTATAGATAAGGCGGGCAATGTAGGTGTTTGTAAACCCGAAGATGATGAAGAAAAACAAAGATTTGCCATTCACCGTACTTCGATCGAAGCTGGAGTGAGCAAACCAAAGATAGGGTTTAGAGAAAGTTACTTGTTGGCAGTTGATGGGAAACTGTTTGGAGTCTTCAATCACGATGATAAGGGCATCACTGTTCATTGTTTTGGATCTCGAAACATGGAAATGGCAACAAGTTCAGGATTTGTCACACAAGAGGTTGTTTGTCAGCTCTAACGCTTCCTTTGCGCTGAGTGATGATGATACCACTAAAGGGGTGGGTAACCGCGCGTATGTTCCTATGTTTCACGATGCAGTTGGCGTGTTCTATTCGTTGGCCACCATGAAATTTCACTCTCTCGTAGGGAACTTTTCTAGCACAAATTCGTACGATCTGGAAGAGCTTCAAGACTTTGGAGCTTGGATTAATCCAAACCTTGATTTGGTACCAGAATCTCAACTTCAATGGTGATGGACAAATTTAATCTTTTTTTTTTTAATCTATCATACTTTGTAATTTACTATTCTCTCTGTCCCAAAAAATAGTTCATATTGAGTTTTAAAATTTGTACTGTCTTTAATACTACAAATCTCAAAATCTAATGTGGACTTTTTTCTGGGACTAAAAGAGTATTATTATTCAAGATCATTAAAAAAAAATCATGTTTAAACTATGGTTCTAGCTATGCTTTCTTTTCATGAATGTTTCTAATTTATATATATATATATATATATAATTTTAAGGTAATGCTGTCTCGTCAATAGATGTTTTTTTATTCAGTAACAGATTAACCCTCGAAGTTACGGACATGACCAGCATTCCTACGATTAATACATCTCTAGTACAAATGTTTCTGGAGGATGAACACAATCACGAATTAGCTTTTCTAACAAGACGAACATGCATGCAAAGCAAAATTCATGACTAAAAACATTCCAATTCAGGTTCATTTATCAATAAGGAGGGCCTGACAAGCACTATCGAAAATGGCACAGGGCTTTAGGCAGTAGAGATCGAAAAGCAAGCCCAACCAACGTCCAATTAATTTTTCATTCATAGTACGTGTTGTAAATACACAAATAAAGTTTTGTTTCTTTTGTCGTAGTATTTCTTACGTACTTTTTGCTTCATTCTTTCTTTGACGTGGCGCATAAGTAACATGATTGATGATATATTGTTAATTGGGGCAAAGTTCAAAATAAACTCATTGTATTAAGCCTTTCAATTTTCTCAAGTCTTGGAGTTCTTAACACCTACGGTTTTCGTTTCATGTTCGCAATCTATTATCCAATTTGATAATTTGTTCCAGTTAATTCGGTCAATACATAAAATTTAGGTTCTACATTTTATTTTATTATTATTTTTTTTTGGGTGTTGTGGCTTTCCCCCCCTCGATCAGGTTCGAAAGTTAATTTCCATGTTTTGGTATATGCTCTGGAATCAGGGACGGACCCAGGGGGTGCAAAGGGGATCGGCTGACCCGGGGTCCGCGAATTTTTTTTTGAAAAAATATCTTATAAATTTTAAATATTTTGGGAAAAAAATTTTTCTATATGTACTCGATCCTGTGAATATTCGAGACTAGTTCCATCACTGTCTGGAATATTATTCAGTCTTGAAAATATATATAATCCATTATGTAACATATTTGTATGTAGGTTCCAAAAAAATATCATTTTGTAATTGTTATGATTTACTTAACTTGATGCATCGAGCTTTCGCACAGATCTGACTATCATTTTTAGGGTAAATGTACAGGCCAATGTGCGATAGTAAAAAATAAAGTGCACTCGAGTAGAAAATACCGCATTATCCGAATAGTATTCCCCGTCTTAGTTTGAAATTACACCTTATACATTATCGGAGGGAGTTGTACTACTACTGCATAGGTATATACGTCTTGAATTAGGCCAACCGTTACCAAGAGATTATAAGAACTTAGCATGCATGGCAATTCATTACTAAAATAACATTCAAATTAAAACCTTGTATTTTTCAAATAATTACGGTCAATTGCCGTTAAAGGTCAATCGTTGAAAAATGTTCGGTTTCACAAAAATGATGCCGCCGCCCACCGGCGCCACCGCTTGGAAGGAGGTCTTGTGCCTAGCAATGGCGCGGTTATGATTGAAGAGTTCACGTGTGCATGTAAATTGTAGTTAAAGGGTACTCATTTCATTAATTGGATTATCAAATTTATATTAGCGGTTTTTTTTTTTTTTTTGTGATTAGGATTACTCAATTTCTGATATGGCGAAGTTTTGTGAATAACTTTCTGGACTGGAGAGCCTGGGTAATAAATTTAGGAAGATTAAAATGGGAAACTGTGTTTGTAAGAATTTTGTAAAATTTAAATCAAACCCAACGGCATTTGTGGTCACCGGTAGTGTTGTTGTATTTCGGTGACCCATTCCTGAAAATTTTATGGATAATAAACCGTTCCTAAATAAAATACTAAGACAATAAACAATTATCATCAAAGAAAAGGATATCTGTTTCCTCCACTATAGTATTTTTTTAAGTAAAAAATGTAAAATCACAATAATAATAAAATAAATGGAATGAGAAAATACTGTCATCTGGGGGGGCGGGGGGAAGCATATGTACCCAGTAGTTATAGTTTTTATCCTGCACTTCTAGAACAAAGGGGAAAAAATAATTTGGGTTCCCTTTGTTGTTGATATTATAGGAAAAAGTTTAGAATTTTCACAAACGATATATTATATCCCTTTTAATGTAACAAACACGACAATATTACGTTTAAGACGGAAGACAAAAATTTATAAGGAATTTGAAATCTACATAGATTGTAAGGGAAACACCGTTGTCTCCATCATTTTTCTACTTATGGATAACATTGTTATTGCAAGTTAGGTAAGAGTGTATGATGATCGTTTATTTTCTTCTAGATTTTCTCTTCGAAAATGAAAGTTAGGTTTAGGTCAATCGTTTAGGGTATATGTGGAATCAAAACTCTAACTTCTGTACAGTGAATTATCTTGATCTAAATCATCATCGTAGGTTCGCTGAACTTAGATTGAAAAAACCAATATGAGATAATGTCGCTATGAGTACGTAATGTTGTTGCCAATCAACACCTAACAAACAAATTGCCTAACTCCCAACATGTTTCGAAATTCATGACATAAATGACGAAGGCCAGTCACCACCCTACGATACGGATCATTGAAGTCGAGTTCGCTCGAAACTTTTTTCTGATCAAACTGTCATTCATCCTTTGTCCAAAAGAAAAAAAAAAAAAAAAAAGCAAAAAAATAACTCCCTCGGTCCCAAAATTATTGTCCAATTTGAAATTCCACTTTTAGTATAATTTGAACTTGAAATGAAAACCCAAACTGGACAATAATTATGGGACGGAGGGAGCATATGTTTAATTATCGAACTAGAGTAATATTGTAATCGAGATTTATTTTAAGACGTACGAAAAGTATTGCTACTATCTAAGAAACTTTTTTAGCCAATGACTCATCAGATACCAAAAAACATACTTTCTGGTGTCCAAAGAGGAAACTAGAAGCTTAAGAGAGCATTGAGAATTTGGAAGGGCCTTATACCAATTTCTAAGAAACCTAGGTATGACAATGATTATTCATTTTTCCCGACTACTTGGTAAAAGGTTGATAAAAAAAAGAAAAAAAAAAGAAAAGAAAAATGCATCGCTGATTAATATGTTGTTGGATCAGCAACGTAAGATAAAATCATTAGTCTCCAACTTTCTTTTTCCGAAAATGGGTAGGGAAACCGTGAACGACCAATGCCCCACACACCCCAAAAAAAAATAAACTCTACATTTTCGCCATGCGTTGAATGATTCGGTCACTTGCATGTTTAATATTTGTGGAGTTCATCAAATTGTCAACATCAAAGATGATTTGCGATTCAACAATCTTTAATTTAATGATTCTGAATTGGCACTTGTATATGTCTTCCTTTCGTTCCAATATTTTTAAATAAGACAATGATTTAAGGACAAAATGTATTTTGAGAAGAGGTTATTCAAATATGTTATATCACACAATGTAGGATATTATAAGCTCCCGTGAAATATACACATGTTTTCTTCAAAAAAATTTATATGTTGTTAAAAAAAAAAAGGTAAATAAACTCGTTAGATTTATTTTTTGGCTATATGAAGAAAAATACCCTGGTTGGCTAGTAGGTAAGGCCAAATAGTTTGTGAATCAAAAGTATATATTTTCTTCATTAAAAAAAAATTATATTAAATTTTGTATTAAAAGAAATACGAATTTTAAAAATTCATGGTTGCTATTTTGGACAGATAGCTAAGGCTTTGTTTGTTTGGTTTTTTTGATAGTTTTTTCAGATTATTTTAATAATAACTGTCTCATCCCAGCATATCTTTTTATATTTCTAATACATTTTTTTATATTCTCAATACCAAAAATACCTAAAAACACACACTAAAAAACGAAACAAACGTACCATAAGAGAGTATCATTTTCATCAAATGGGAACATATAAATTAGCACGTGTCCAAAAAAAAGCACCAAAATATTTTGATTAGAATGAATTGGTGGTTATCAAACTATACACGCACAACACACATATACATAAAATACAACATTTATTTCAGCAGCATTGACCCCTTTTCTTTGGGTTGGTTTGACCTCTGACCTCTCACTATTTCAGTAGCAAAATTGAATTTCCCTCGCCACACGTGTAACCCTATGGTTAACTTGCCACTTGACCACATATCCACGACCACTCATGTCACGTGTTCTACACGTGAGCCATGCTTTTAGGAGTCATTTCAAATGACCTCCTTAAAATTTATTAAGGTTATTTAAACACAAAAGGACAATTTAATCTACAAAAAGTAAAAAAAAAGTGAGATGAACCAAATCTGGTTTCAGACCTTACTCGTAATGAAGTACTTCATCCTTAAGTCTCCTTCATGTTTCTCTTTTTTTTTTCTTTTTTTCCTTTTTTTTCCTTCAATACAACACTTTATGATACTATAAATTACATACTCCACTTCTTCATTCCATTCAGTTATATGGTTCAATATTATTGTAATTATCAGGTTGGAAAGTACATATGCGTGCGCTATTGCGGAAAAATATTTTCCTCAATGAGTATTCTTACTGATAATTTTCAAAAGAAGAGATCAAATTGATTTTTTTTTTTCAATATAGGTAGATTGAATAATGAAAGTGAATGCAAATATCTTTATCGAACATTTTTTCAATAAAAGGTACTCAAATATCTTTGACATATTAAAAGATATATGTAGAGAAGTCAAACGAAGATTATATTGTTTCAAATATATAATATCTGGTTGACAAATACAGATCGACTAATCTTTAAGTTTCACATTATTGTATCGAAATGTCGATTTGACCACGACTGATTTTAGCAACTGATCGCGGGGTCGGATAAGCTAAATTTATATCGCCTCAATATAGTTTTATTGCTGCGGTAAAATCTGAGAAAGAGCAAAAAAAAAAAAAACCAACCATACAAATCAAGAACTACGACCATCATTTTCAATCAAGAGGGCAAGAAAGTTGGAACTTCTTCGAATTGATTGTTTAACACTTAAAAGAACAATCGGCCCTTAACAAAGAAAACTTAATAGCAAATACGAGTTTATCACATCTCTAACCTCTTAAGAATTTAGTATACATATAAACTGATTGATGAAATAAGCATAACAAATCTTAAAAAGTATCGATGTACGCATGCTTAAAACAATCAACCTTTCCAACTATAGTAAGAAGTACGAACAGCTGAGTCACCCAATAACCATAATATTCTTATATAAACTATACTTCATATCTAAATGATGGTTGTTAGCCATTTTTTTTTAAGGGTTGTTAGCTTTCAATTTAAGATATTGAACTTTTTGCGCGGTCCTGAAAATCAATAGGATGTCCTACATTGAACTTTAAATTTCGCTAATTTAAAAATACTTGGTCACGACAACTTATTAGATTTTCGTAAAGCTAAAAAAAATAAAAATCCTTGACATACTTATTGAGTTTTGGGATTAATTTGAGTCCATTGAAACGGAATGGAATACTTAGTGGTAAAAATTATGGTGAAAAGTTTACCACTCCAGAGAAGATTAACCTATGTTAAGTGAAAATCAATTGAAATATGCATGATATGTACCCATTTAAAATGACTTGTAGGTTTATGTACCAAAACAAAGACTTGGTCGTAAAAGTAAGAAAACCTAAGTAGACATGGAGTTAGCCTTAATGACTTGTGAATTTTGAATGCCCTGGTTCTAAAGACCGGGTGTGCCTCTTTTGACTCTGTATGTTAAGAGTATTTTCCATTCAATCACGTAATTCTCCTTTGAGTAAATTATTGGAATTAATAATCTCTGAACCGGTAGTATTCATATTCTCTTTGACCACTGAAATTGAACAATTCTGAATCAGTTTTCACCTATCAACTATCGTAATAATGACATTCGGGGTCTCTTACTGCAAACTGAGTACTTGTACCTGAACAAAGCAAACACTTACAAGACTGCTTAAGGCTCATTAATATATAAGGGTTTTCGTTATGTTCAAAAAAATTTTTTTGATAAGAAATGTGATTTTAAACCAATTATATCGTAAGTTTGAGTCCCATTAGAAATAAGAAATCGAGTTGAAAATTTTTTGGAAGTTGCAACCAACAATATATATATATATATATATATATATATATATATATATATCTACTTAATATAATATGGGAATGTAAGTTTATGGCACGGTTTCATGCAAGTTTCCCACTGAAATTGGTGACGTGGCAGATAATGATTGGACCGCTTCTTTTTCCATTTTGATCGTTCGCTTCATCTGTCTCGCGGTGTCGTTCGGTTGCCGGTCATATTTATACTACACGTGTTTAGCCACTTCGATCTTTCCTCTACTACTGGTTCGCGCCTAACCTTTCATATTCCAAAGATGCCAGCAACGGGATAGAGGAGCTGAATGAATTTTGACGCCGGAGCCGACCATCAGTGTACGGTAACAGTGGAGGGGGCATGAATATATATATATATATATATATATATATATATATATATATTCATAGACTAAGGTTGAGCACAAAGTCTTCAATATTTTCATCCGAAAATAAAGGGTAAACAAAGTAATTCACAATGCTCATTATTGTGTTTGTACTGATCGTGTTCCCACTCTCTAGAATTAATGATAATACAATCATAAACTATAGTGTCTTTGCATAATGACGGACGAGGAAATCATTTAGCTACTAGTTTACTTTGTATAATTATTAACGAATTGGGAAAAATCAAACCAACAAACTAATTATCATCTCGGCCATTGAAAATTCTTACTCTATATCAATTTAAGATTGTATTTCTTTGTCGCTAAATGATTATCCGATTTAAATTTTATTTTTAGTACAAATATAACTGAAAATGAATTAAAATCTAAACAAAACAATTATTTTGAAACAGAAGAATATTTTTCACTAAGACAAAACTCCTTTAATGATAATTCTGAGTTCACAGTCCCTCATTAAGTTTCAGCCTTGTGGAGCTCCCTGCCACCTTTGGGCTCGACTCGACCCTAACCCATGAGCGATGAGATACGTTTCAATATGCATAAAAAATCAAATCAAATCAAATAAATTAAAAGAGTTTGGGAATAAGAAGATCAGAGCATTTATATTTGTCTACGTGAAACAGGAATCTGAGGTATACATGATTTATGGAACTAGAGAATTACACCTAGAGGCTCGTTTGAGGGAGTTGGTGAGAGATTCCATAGTCGTGCTAAACTCACCTTTTCTACTCCAGTTGTTTCACTCTTTGATGAGAAAGTCCTCTAACAAGGTTAATTCAATTTTCATCGGTGCTAGGCCATTAGAGAAGGAGCTTTTAAAAGAATTTGACGAGGGGTGTATTCATGGCCGAAATACTTGTTCTCAGATCTTGACAGACAAGCTTGGATGGGACAAGAATGCTTCTAAGAAAGTCTTATGCTTTGGTCCTGATCAAAATAGACCAAACATTTTGGTAGACATATCTAAGGGAGTTAGGAAGAAGATCATTAACTCAGATCTTCTGATGTAAAATGAAATAATAGTGTAATTTGTATTTAAATTACCAGTAATATGTATCAAAAGTCTCTTGAATTGTATTTTTCCATTTTGTTTGCTCGGTTTCATATTCTTTAATTTTTTAAAATAATTGTAACGTTATTTTGTTTTATATTTATAATAATGAATGTTCGATGAAAAGAGTATCAATTTGGTCTCTACCACAGTGCAGCGCCATTGTGCACAACAGCACAAGTGAAACCATATATATTAATATTGACATACAAAAATTAGAGAATAAAAAATTGGGATGCAAAGGATACGATGTACGGAACCAATTGGACAAAAAGTTTGGCCAACAAGATTGTTCGACTTGAATTCATGCTGAAAGGTGAACCAGCACACTGAAACTTCAATTTTTTTACTCACTCTGTCCTATAATTATTGTCTAATTTGAGATTTCACTTTTAGTACAATTTAAACTAAAATGAAAATTTAAACTGGACAATAATTATGGGACGGAGGGAGTAAAATTTATTATTCAACTTTATTATTAAATAATGATAATAAGAAATTAAAGGGACAGTTTCCAGATAAATGTTCAACTTGTCGGGTTCTTATTAGATTAAGATTACATCACCACCAACATCAATGTCTCAAAGCGGTCACACCTCAGGAAAGCCCATATTCTGGTAGTTCCTCGTTTCGTCGAAATCCACCTGCTTTTACGATATTTTACAATTCCTCCCTATTAAAAAATTTACATACGTGATTCTTGTTCGTACGCTACAAAAAACAAGCAAAATTGAAATCAAATACCACAAATGCATCAGTATTAGAAAACAATAACAAATTAGATGACTTCAGCTGTATTATCATTTTCATCATCTTTTTTTTTTCTTTTATTGATACACCATGACGAACGAAACTAGATCCTCTTCTATTCTAAAATTATTATTTAATTTAAATTGTTATTTTTAGTTCAATTTACTTTAAAAATAAAAAAATGATTCTGGACAATAATTTCGAGACGGATAAAATATGATAGAATATTATGTTTGTTCCAAATAAGAGTCAAATTTGTTTAAAATTATTAATACTCCTTCTGTCTCGAAATTATTGTCCAGTTTAAATTTTTAGTTTTAATTTGAGAAATAAATTTTAGTAACCATTATCTCTAATTTCTGGACAACTATGACACTTTGTTTGGTAAGAAAGATGTAACGTTGAGACATGCATGTGGAGTACAAAGACAAGTGCCAATAGACTTTTGCATGGGAAAAAAAGAAACAAATGAAAATCGACATTTCTCAGAATCTTTCCTCTTGAAACTTGATAATGAGAAGAAAAGTTGCATGATAAATCAAATCCGCGGTCCAAGGCCTAATCAAATCCTACAGGGTAGCTGCAACCTAAAAACACTGTTCTGTTTATATCTCTCTTCTGGTCTTCATTCACTTCATACAGAATTACATCGACAATAATAACAATTTCGCTTCGGGATGCCTAACCTACAAGCATATTTCTGGTATACCCACAAATTGAGCCCGCCCCCCCCCCAAAAAAACAATAAAATAAAATAAATTAAAGCAAGAGAATGATGTTTCTAAAGAAGCAAAAGATTTCCACAGAAGAACTTTATAACGCCAACTAGCTGGAAGAAGACGGAGGGTAATTGCCGGGTGTAGTCCACGGTGGTGGCGCCGGAAAACTTGAGCTGCCACCCTGATTCTGCGTCGAGAAATGACCCCTTTGTTGTGCAGGAGTAGAATACAGCAGGGGATAAGCAGAGGGAGCTGAAGGAGCCGAAGGAGCAGTAAATGAAGCAGAGGAAGAAATGGAAGACGGCAAAGATTGCGTATGGAGAAATGCCAATGAAGAAGCATAAAGCATCTGTTCCAGCAAATTAGTCGGCTGTTGTCCCTGCAATAACTCCCCGGAACTCTGAAGCAATTGAGAATACTGCCAGTAATCCCTGGCCATGTCCGATGCACCTCCGGCGGCCCCGGCCTGAAACAATGGTTGCGGTTGTGGCGTTTGTAATGCGGCCGTCACCGGAAAAAGGGATGCCTGAGAAGTTGCGATATTCGGGCGGAGCTGCTGAGCTGATTGAGATGTCTGCGACGATTGAATCGGCGGCAATAGCCTCGCATTTTCGGGGAAATTCAATTTTGCTCTGTTTCCTCTGAACCTTAAGGCGGCTTCATCATATGCTCTGGCAGCTGCTTCAGCAGTATCAAATGTTCCCAACCAAACTCTAGCTGCTTTATGTGGATCCCTTATTTCAGCTGCCCATTTCCCCCACGGCCTTTGCCTTACTCCTCTGTACCTCCTCCTCCTCTCCCCAGTCTCTTCAGTGGCGGCGCCGCCAGCCGCCGCCGCCGGAGCAGCGGCTTGTTCAGGCTGTGGGTTTTGAGATTGTGAGGGCCCAAAAGCATTCACATTGGTTGTAGCTGTGGTTGAAGGTCCAGTTACAATACTCAAAGCTTCTCCTAATGCGGAACCAAAGAGGAAGAAGATCAACATTAGACAGATTTCTAGAAGCAGCTTATTTATTAGACCTCAAAAATTTTAAGCTAAGATGAAATAAATATTGATAGAGATGTTATTGCATGTGAAGGAAGAATATTGAATGTAACAGTGTCAACAAAAATGACACCTAAAGCTGGTTATTTTTGGTAAAAACGGCCGAGCCTTTAATAAGATACAAAATCTACTTGAATTTTACTTTCTGTATCAAGTATAGCATCAAATTATGCCCTGAAATTATTTTAAAATTTCCTTTAAAAAATAAAAGAGAAGAAAATAAGTTGCTTTGAAGGAATGAAACAGGATCTTTTTTGCGATACAAACTTTTGTGCGGAGAAACAAACAAATGGATTAATGTCCCAAAAAAAAAAAAAAAAAGAGGACTAACCAGCTGAAACAGGGGAAGGCTCCGTAGGGTTGAAATCTTCAAGCCTTTGATAACCTCTGTGGATGTTATCACGGATTCCGGACACGTTTTCCTCTTGTTCACGTCTCCTCTTCTGACCCGCCCAAGAACCGGAGCTGGAAGAAGAGTAAGCCGATGACGGCGAATTAGCAGAATAAACACCAGAACCACCAGCACCGAACGACGGCGTAACAGGGCTGGAGCTCATATCCGCCGCCATCATGTTGTAACCCCATGACCCGCCACCGCCACCGCCACTCGATCTTTGTCCGGAAACCACGTTCGTTAATGCCGTCACCATCGCCGACATCTCCCCCGGTTGACTGTACCCTTCATACATCATCGGCGACCCAACCCCTGCTGCTCCTCCGGCGGCGGTGGAAGAGAAAAGGTAATTCGATTGTTCTTGATATTGCTCCGAAAATTGATGGAATAATTGGGATTGGGAATCGGATTCGGCGGCGGCGGTCATATATGCGGAGGCGGTGGTTGCAGTGGTGGCGGCGATGTTCTCCCTCTCCGGATTCCTCCCTTGACGTCTTCCATGGCCGCTGCTGGAGGTGGTGGCGGTTGAGTCTCGTATGTTCGCCACCTTTATCAAGCACATGTAAAAAACCCCACCTCAAAACCAAGCTAAATCACGGTAAAATCCAAAATTAACTCCGACCCAGATTATAAATCGAGGGATTATTAACAACCCACTTCTTTAATTTCCCGTCTCGAAATGGGCAAAATGATACCGAACTTCAAACTTTTTCCCAGCCTAAAAAAAAAAACCCAAGCTTTATAATAATGGAGAAAACGAGACCAATTAATAAGCTTGACCAGGGGTTTGAGATTTCTTTGGCAGCAGAATAAGTCTAAAAAGTGAACTCCTTTATGTTTTTTTGGTACGGTAGAGTTAAAAAGAATTAAAATTTTGGATGGGTGAAGGAGTTTGGAAGCAAAATAGCTCTAAAAATTATAGATATGGAGACTCGCGTAGAGCCGCCAGAAGAACAGTGTCTTTGTGGTTTTTGTGGGGAGGTTAGGATTTATATTGGTTTCATGGGCTAAATTGAATGAATGTGTGTGTAATCTGATTGATATAATTTATTGGAAAAGGAAAAAATGAAGAAGAAATTGGTTTTTTTCTTTTTTTAGAGAAATGATGGAAAAGGAGGAATTGTTTTTTTTGGTTTACTTTAGCAATTAAGAAGAAGAGGTGGTGATGACAAAAACAACATGCGTTTTATTGCATTTGCCGACTGGAAGAGAAGAAGGTTCACACACAGTCACACACCGCTTTGACCACACTGTGAGATACCAAATTAGAAGGATCCACATCCACCCTGCTTTTTTTAAGCCCCGGCCCTTCGAGCTGCTCAAGAGAACGTCGGTTAAGGTTACTTCATACCTGAGGATCGACCCGAGATGGAATCCATTAATGATATAACCATGTTTGAATTGAGTTGCTTTTAGTTAAGTTTACTTTCTCTTTTGGTTTCATATTCATCAAAAATAAATAAATAAAGCTAGGAAAAGGAAAAATACAATTTGGCCTTTTACAGCCGACAAATTTTCATTTTTTTTTTTTTTTGTAAGACGGGTCTGGGCCTTTTAGTACGGTGTAACCGTATGGATAGTGATTATTAGTATATGAAGTTGGGCTAACAATTCGGATGTCAAACTTTGTCAACGACGGTTTTTTATTTATTTTGGCGATAAGTTTTGTGTCCAAACAAGAACATAGTACTGTCATGAGGAGATGTGACTTGCTAAAGTAAACAAGATGACGGATAAAATTTTGTGCTTACCTCTATCTTTTTCTTCCAATTATGGATAATGCCATCTCTCTTTGCGATTTTATTTCTTTGGTTTTTTTTTTTTCATTGTTAGAAAGTGACCATCACTTCTACACTCGTCCGTTGTTTTGAGTTTTGACAACTAGTTTAATCATTTTCCCACTTATCGACTTGCTTTCACTTTTATTATTTCTACATATTTTTGATAAAACAAATGAAAATTTATAAATAGTGTAATTAGTTAGAGACATTTGCCTAAATTTTCTTTCCCTGATGGATTTTTTTTCGATGAACACTTCTGTTAATTTTCAAGTGTTCAAATTGATAGTAAAAATGGTTGTTTCTGTACAGCGCTGCCGTATAAACATGAAGTGAAAAGCCCCTTTCTTCAATAATAAAGTTTTTTCTTTTTTTAGTTCTAACTTTGACATTGTATTCATTTACGTATTTAATAATCGACTTTGTTATGCTAAAAATAAAAGATATTAATTCTTTTCTTAAAAAGAAAGGTAACTAAATTTGACTGTTGATTCACTTTTTTGAGCAGTACTACGAATGACTAACAAAATTTGATCGAATCAACGATTGAGTTGAAGATCATCTAACTGAATTATTCAGAGGAATTAATCAATCAAAAAGTTGTAACATGATTTGATTTTTCTTTCATCTTTATTTATAATTGAGGAACCCTTACCATTGAAATGAATAGTTCTTATGGAACACCTTCGTGGAAATATCGTGCATTAAATACTTTATATGACCCGTTTTATTTAAAATAAAATGCATACTTTTAAAACATTACACATGCACCTATAATATATATATATATATATATATATACAGTACGTAAAAAAATAAGAAAAAATTAAAACAGAAGCAAAAAAATAATAAGAAAAAAGGAATATTTGGTCAAAAGACGACTCCTTGCCAACGACAACTAAATTCAGACTGAACCAGTAGTAGGATATAATAATGGAGATGGGAAAACAAAAAAATTACATAAATTTTATCCAAAAAAAAAAGTCAATTAATTACAAAGAACAAAAGATTTAACACTGGTAACGTTCCAAAGTTTACTTAATTATGCGCCAGGTACCATTGAAAAGTCTAATAGCAAACAATACTTTGTCTATATGCATCATAAAAATAATTAACATTATAAATTCTATACGGTTTTTAGTACTTTCTTTGTCGTAAAATAGTTGTCCAAATTTTAATTGCACTTTTAACATACTCCCTCCGGTCCTTATTATAAGGTATTTTGATTTCGTCTTAAGTTACGAAATCAAAATGCCTTATAATAAGGACCGGAAGAAGTAATTTGAAAGCAAAAAATAAAAATTGAGATTGGACAATTAAGAAATAATGAATACAATTTACAGTATGAATTAATTTTGTAAGAAAAAAGACTATTATATTACCTCATTTTCAATAGGAAAAACACAAACTCTCACCCCGTTACATTTGTTAGCAATCAACCGATATTCTTGATGCGAGCTAAATGATTAGTCAATACGCAGCGTTTATTTCTCTAAATATTTTCCTCTCCCCTCTCACTAAACAATTTCTTATCGGAATTTTCCTCCTCCCCCAACCTCCTTTAATGGTGATTGGGGGAGTTGTCTTTTTTTCTCTATCACCAAGTCTAGTTCCACCTCCGTCACTGAAACCTCCTCCAGATCAACCCCTTCCACCACCGCCAAAACCACCACTGCCTCCAAATCACCCTCTGGCGAAGCAGTTACTGCCACCCCACCTTTTCTAGCATCCAAACCATCCGAACCCCCTTCTGCCGTCCGGATCCATCCTCTGTCGCCCTTCACCGATCAGATCCATCCTAAGTCGCCCTTTGCTGGCCAGTACCACCTTCTGCCGCCCTTTGCCGCCCAGATCCACCCTCTGCCGCATCCACCTCTGCTGCCTTCGCCACCCTCCCGCTGTATCCCTTATCTGATGGAGTCTATCTGAATCCGGATTTGGTTGTTTTTTTATTGTAGTGTTTTAATCCAATTAAGTGGGATAACCCACCCTCAGTATAAATTTCGGATTGATTCTTTACTGAGTGAATTTAGTGTGTCAACGGAACCGAGTCTGTTGGTCGAGTCCGAATTTGATGTGTGCTGTTCGTCGTTCATGGCGATAAATTTGTGCTTCAGTCTGCGGATTAGTGATATATTCGAGTTCAGAATTTTATTCTGTTCCGTAATATATCCGACAATAGAATTATGTCATTATAGGATTGTTTTTCCTTTTGGCATTTTTTTAGTCTAGTCACTGGTGCAGTGATTAATACCGTGAGTACATCGTTAGAACAGTTCAAGTATGTCATTTTAGACGGTCTGTTCTTGTATCAAATGGTGCTGGACCATTTCCAGTAATCTTAATGGAGTATGTTTTTCTTAAAAAAAAAAAAACCGGTATTCTTGATTGATACAAGAAACTCATCTATGTGAACAAAAATTGTAACATCTCATGTGTTTGGCTTGGCATAATTCGCCAAACCATGAGATACACCAGTACATTATCTATGTGAGGGATCTGGAAAAGCTTTATCAAAAAAATAATAAAATAAAAATGTTACTCATTTAATTTATTTTACAAACTAGCTTCGATATTGAGTGTTAATTACATGCATGTCATTTTCACATATTCATGAGATATAAAATTACCGTATCGGTGTTTATTGCAAAATTGACAGTTGCCAAAACCCCGAAAATAATTTTTTTTATATAAAAAAAAAAGAAAAGGAAAACAAACAAGAAGAAGAAAAGTACTCTTGAGGATGAAAAAATGAAGACAGAAATTATGGAAAAATTCAGTGGAATTGACGGATGGTAATAATGAATGAAGTTTGGTTTCGACCAAATCCACTTTAACCGAATTTAGTTCAAATGGCAAGTCTTATCTTTTGAATCACCACCGTTCGTATGAGGTAATGCCTACTGTACTTTTGGGTTCTACTAGTAGAAATGAAAAAATTTTTTTAAAAAAAAGGGGAAAAAATTGGGGATAAATGATTATTCCAAATTGCAAAAAAAGGGAAATCAAAAGTGAAAACGATAAGGATGAGAAAAGATTTTAGACAGTTTGGTTTAATATTCAGCTAAGTGTCAATCAAAATGACTCGAGTCAACTGGTTTAGCTGCACACGTGGATTTGATTAGGCTGGCAAAGACCGACGTGATGATTCAAACTTTTGTGGTGGGGTGATAGTAATCATCTACATATACCCATAGTAGAAACATTTCTTTGATTAAACGACACTTTCTAGAAAGCAGTAATTCGCTCCGTCTCGAAATGACTGATTTATTTTGTGACGAAATAAATAGTAATAATAATGAGTAATAAATTTTTCCTTCTACATTAATTAACTTAGCTCAGTAGTCACTTTGATTTTGGTTCGATATATTAATTCAAAAGAATGATATGAAACTGCAATGTATTTCCTCCGTCCTAAAATTATTGTCTACATTGAATTTTTATTTTTAGTATAAATTATACTAAAACTGAGAATCTAAACTGGACAATAATTATGGGACATAGGGAGTATAATATAATATCATGTCATTTAGACATATACGTACCGCATGGATAGAAATTTCTATCCAAGTTGATTTCCGTAGCTAACAATTTTATTAATTTTTTTTTTTTAAAAAAAAAAAAACAGAATGTAGTGATTATCAAAGCTCAGTCTAAAACGACGATACTATAAATTGCAAAGTGCCCAAATGAAAGACGATGGAGCATTTCGACGTCTACAATTTTAAGTCAAAAAACATTTATTCTTCTTTATCTCGTGAAGATGCTTTCCTTAAGATGAATATCATTGGAATTTAACGTTGATTCACATGAGTAGGGTACATGGCAATCCTATACATGGAGTCAAAACTACCTACCGATTGCTGAATAAAATGATAATCTTTTCGTCTCAAAATTAGCATATCGTTTATCAAATTAAAATATTACGACATGAGACATTTTAATTAAGCATGGAGGGACTGAATTAGGAGGAAAATAAAGAAGGAAAAAAGAGAAGAGTCTTTGAACATTATGTGTTGCAGACTTGCAGTACTTCAAACTTGTCATCCTATAACAAAAACAGAAGTAGAATGGTAATGCAGCTTACGCACAAAAACTTTGAATTTACAGAAAATAAATATATGCCATAATGACAAGGTAAGATCACACAAGAAATTTGTTTGTAACAATTTGGGAGCCAATAGTAACAAATTAACATCGAAACTAAACTCAAAACAACCAAATTTTAAAACTTAGATTCAACCAAGAGTGGGATCTCCGCATACATGACATAATTAATCATATTTCAATGTTCTCTTCGTCCAGAAATGAAAAATGACATTTTTCTTATAATAATTTAATAGAATATCTGGTTCTTATAATTTGACATTCATACTAAATAAAGATGTTTAAGTACCAGTACTATCTTTATTATCATGATCGTTGGAGGAAGTTTCCCATTTTCTTTCCAAAAAAATAAATTGAAATCTTCAGACTAAAGATTAAAAAAAGTGACGATATAAAAAGAGTGAAAGCGCTGGAAAAACGTTGCAAACTTATTCATGGATGAGGTTATTTATATGTATACACATTTTCTTTGAGCACAACATTTTTGAATTAATA